AATATTCCCTTAGGTAATCATAATATAGGAAATAAACACTGCTATAATACTATAATCTACAGCCCTTATATTTCACTAGTTTTCCCAAGAAGATCCTTTATAGCAAAAAGAAAAAAAAAATTGACTGTGATGTTGGTGGACTGTCAGACCATGCTTGGCCTTTATCAGCAGTTATTTTGTCTGGCTATTTAAGTGAATACCTATTTATGCCAATTGATCAGTCTGCCATTTTTTGTTTGTGTGGCCCTGGACAAGTTACTTGACCACATTATGCTTCAATCTCTGTGCGCAAAAGGCTCTGAGGGTAGGAAACGTTAATAAATGTGACAGGTTTAGAACAACCTGATTTAAGTGAAACCTCTATGTATTATGGGGACTAATCCTTGATTTTACACGTGGCAAGTAGCCCCTCACTTATCTTTTTTTTGTGAAGAATTTCTTTTGCCACATACATAGAATTTTAAATGTTGATGTAGTTTGTATCTAGCATTTTAATCAACTCAGAATATGCTGTCCGTGGGTAGAGCCAGGTGGAAGTCTAGAGTAATTTTTTCTGAGTGGCAAGCACCTTGTCTCAATGTCCTGTGGTCACTGATGCATCTCTCCTTTTTGCTGGTTGAAACCACTATCTTTATCCCATAGAAAGATCCCATTTGAACACTAATTTATTTGTGGGTGTAGCTTTATCAATTGATCTGTTTTTCTGTTTCTGTGCTGATTCAGGATCTAGCCTTGTCACGGTCTCTGGTGTCTAATAGGCCAGTCCTTGGGAGGAGCTTTAGACACTGGTTTATCTTTGGTATGGTCAGCCTGTCCCATGGAGAGCTTTGCCTTTGCCCTCCAATGCTTAGAGCCACATGGTCTCCCCTGCCCTCCCCAAAGTCCACTCAAAAAGTACTGCCCATCCTGGGGTGCAAATGATTAAATGATTTTAATTATTTTTATTGTGAAATATGTAAATGCACAGATAAAAGCAAAGAATAATAAACATCCATTTTGAGTTTAGAGTAAATATCTGTCCTTACATGTTTGCTACATCTTTAACTCTGGGTCCTATTTGGCTCAGATTTTTTAACTGAGCTATAAATGATAGCATATATGGTTGAGGCCCTGACACCACTTTTGTGAATTCCACTTGCTGTGTCCCATATAGAAATATTCACATGTCCTGCATCTTGTGGTTGGCTCTTCAGGTAGACTCCTCCTTCACCCCCTAACGGACTTGCCTGGTATTGAAACTCCAAGCTGTGAGCCTGTTTGCTTTCCAGGAGGAATGTTCTACGTGTGAGATTTCCAGCTCCGGGCGGGAAGAGGGTTTGGAGAGATGGATCTGGAGGTCTGTCTGGAGGTTTTCCAGGCAGTGACTCAGAGGCAAAGGGATGCCAGAGGTATAAGCTGCACACAAGAGAGGAGATGCTGAGTGCAGACTCCCAGCAGAGGCAGAATGAGCTTTGGAGTTGGATAGGGGGAGTCCCAGAGAGCTTTGAAGACCAGGGCAGCAGTAAACATTGCTCCTGGAGGTGACTCTGGCAGCAGCCATGGAGAGGACATCCCCGGGGCTGCTGCTTGGCTGTGGCATTTGGGGTGGGAGCCCTGCAAGTCCTGTGGGTTGATGAGGTGTAATAACTCTCACTGTCTTCCTGAGCTTTGGGAAAGCCAGGACACAGTCCCTGCTCTTTCGAGAGACTGTGCTTGTATCCAGCCCTGCCCACCAGTAGCTGAGTAACCCACCGTGGGCTTTATCATCTTACTCAACTTCCTCTGTGTAGATGCTTCCCTCTGCCACTGCTTGTCTCTTCCACATGCTAGGTTTCTTTATTTCCATCTGTATTACCAAAACCCCAGAACTGCACCTGGACGCTAGCCCCTGCCCATTCCCCTCTGGGTCAGTACCACCTCCTGCAGTCCTCTGAGGAGGGACTCCCTGGCACAAGCACAGCTCAAGTGCAAAGAGGAGATGTCCCAGCCTTCTTTGACCTGATCGAAGTCTGCCCTAAGCTGCCAGGTGCCCCCTGCCCCTGTTTATAAGGTTGAGTTCACTCTTCTCCAGGTCCCTGGCTGCCATGTTCCTTTCCTCAGGGCCTCTGCTGAGAGCACCTCCTTCCTCATCCCCGCATGTATCCACCCCTCCACTTACAATGTTTATAGCAGTGTTAACATGTACATACACACATAGGTACATACATGTGTACATGTATGTATCAATTCAAAATGGGTATGTCTGCATACTTTTATGCATGTTGTCTTGGTTACTTTTTCTCTCGTTGCTGTGACAAAATACCTGATGCCCAAAATTAAGGAAGGAAAGGTTTATTTCACTTACAGTTTGTGGAGGTTTCAGTCCATACTTGGAAGGTTACAAGACAGAGTGGCACATGGCAGAGGGCTACAGCTCACGGCAGCAGAACACAGCCAAAGCAACAAGCACTAAAAGGGAGGAATGGCCACAAGCAGCCTCTTCCTCTCCCTTACATATGCAAACTATCCACTGCAGGGCAGGTGTAGCTCTCACACCCATAATCAATCAAACCCTAAAAGCCTGCCCCATGACTGCATGAGACTTTGGGGGGACACAAAGACACAAACCATAACACATGTGTATGTGTACATAGTGTCTATGTAATACATATGTATATGTATACATAATGTGTGTATGTGTGTTCATGTATACTACTTTTTGTTTTGAAATTATTTTACACTTACAACCAAGGTGCAAAAATCATTTCAAGTGTTCCCTGCAACCCAACTTCTACAATGAACATCTTATGTAACTGTGGTACAGGGATCAGAACTAAGAAGGTAGCAGTGGTATGCTGCTATTACCTACAGATTTTACTCAGAGCTAATTAGTTTTTCCACTGTTGTCCTTTGTCTGTTCTAAGATCCAAATTTACATTTCAGTGTCATCTCTTTGTTGTCCTCCAATCTGTGATACTTTCTTGGTCTTTTCTTTTTTCCACCCTTTGATAGTTTCCGATTTTCCAGAAAGTTCATTGATATGGCCTGTGTGGTGTTCTGACGACTACATTGAGATTGTGGACTTTGGTCAAGAATCCCTCAGAAGTGCTGTGCCCTGCTCAGCACTCCAGATTAGGATCCCATGATGCTGATGCATCTTATTACCGGCAGCATTAGCCTCGTTCACTTGGTTAAAGTAAGAGCTGAGGAGTTTCTTACTTTTCAGTTAATAAATGTGTAGTCGGGGATACTTTGTGACTGCAGTTATCCATTAGGGAATTTAATGCAAAGTGTCAGTTACCTAGATGATGAAAGAGCTATGTAGCTCAATTATCAGAAATTAGCAGCCACGTGTAGCTGTTGCTTGTCTCTTAACATGAGGCACAAGGGAGGAGATGGTCATGCCAGAGCCTTGCCCGAGGGTCAAGCATTGAAATCAGTCAGTGAGGGACGGAGCCATGAAGACCCAGTCACTACTAGTAATGCCACCGGAGGCAGAGACAAAGAGAGACAGAGGGAGCATGCCTAGCTTCTCCCTTCTTCCTGTCTCCTGGCCAAGTCAGCTGAAAGCCTGCTTACACGGAGGCTGGCAAGTTTGCCCTCAGCAGATGGATGGGCAGGGACCGGCAAGCAGTGGACCTGCTGCCTTGCCCGTCTCTCCAGAACTTGTTGTCCAACACTGGAGTCACCGGCCATGTGTGGCTCTTGAGCATTTGAAATGTGGCTCATTCAATCTGAGGTGTGTGCCTAGTGGGTTTCCAAAACTTCTGTATGGAAAGAAGATCATAAAATATCTCATCAAGAATTTTTTATTGTTTACCCTATGTTTTAGATATTTTGGGCTAAGTAAAATACATTATTTAACTTGATTTTGTCTCTCTTTTTAAAATCTGGTTACTAGAAAAGTGTCTTGCCTGTGGCCCTCATTTTATTTCGGTTGGATAACTGCTCTATAGCATACTTGGACCTAGCCTATATCGTCAGCATCATACTAAAAGGTCTTTCTTGTACAAAGGTTGTGTCCTCAACTCACTATCAGGAGGTGGCACCCACCCAGTGTTTTAGGAAAAAGGACTGTATTGATCTGATACCCTCCGCGTCATAGTTTTGACCAGAGATGTCAAACATAGAGACTGAGCTCCCTCTGTGTTCTATGTCTCACACACATTGTAGGTTAACATTCTCGTTCAGCAGAGAGAATAGCTAACATTTAACACAGCAGTAGAAACACCACAGTGTAGCTAAGTAGCACTTGACAGAGGATGAGCCATTCTGTGTCTGCCACATTGTCTGCACGGTGCTTTTACAGCTTAGAGTCCTCCATCTCTACGTTGCAGAGCTGCCCAGCATAATGGTCTTATTTTATAGATGACAAAATGAAGTCTGGGAGGTCACATGGCTTAAGTGGTTCTCAAACTTCCAGTGCATCACCAGGGGAGCTTGTCAGCATGCTGGTCCTCAGCCCAGCTCATGCAGTGGGTGGAGGGTCTGGGTGCCCAGTGTCCTCTGTATAGAAGACCCTGGGGACTCTCCTGCAGGTGGTTGTTAGACCACACTTTGGGACATATTAATTCTCCCAGCTCTTTGCGCTTGAGCCCAGCTTCTGATGGCCTGCCTGGGGCTCTTCTCTCATGCTGGGTCCATCAGCTCTAGAGCTGAGTGAGTATACAGGAAAAGGTGGCCATACTTGCCTGTCCTCTGGCTCCAACCTTGACATAATCAAGGATCATTGTGGCTAGAGCCACATGAGGCTGGTTGTCCAAAACTAAAAAGACCTGCTATCATGCTTTCTTAACTTTGCAATGCAACTGGGTCTTTGTCACTTCAGTAGATTTAGGTGAAGGGAATGAATTTGCCTTTCCCTGCCATATATCAGGGGATCACCTTGCTGTGGCACTTGGAGACCTGCTGGTGGGAAAAGATCTGCCACTGAGACTGCTGAGTTCTTACTGGCTCTTCTGCCAAGGAACAGCAGCACACCTGGTGCGGGGGGAAGTGAGAGCCTGTCCCGCCATCACTGACCCTTCCTTTCTGCCTCGCAGTGGACAGCGGACTGCAGTGAGCAGCTGGACAGCAGCGGTTCCTTCTCGCGAGGGCGAGTCCCCCCACAGCAGGTAGGGGAGCGGCTCTGGGCTCCATCTGGGGTTGTCACTTGTCTTGCTTTTGTGGGCTCCTGAGAGGTGGGGATGCACAACAAGCAGGAAGGTGGGATATTGAAGGACGCTGTACCTCTGGGAAACCTCCCATGATTCCTGGCCACAGCAAAGCATCACTCCCCAAAGCACATTCTCTTTTTTCCTCCTCAGTTTTTGTTAGTATATTTTTGCAATACATAGTAAAATACATTTATCTTGAGGGACCTGGTACATAGACATATCGCATCCTGGCCTTTCCCTTCCTCCCATCTCACCCATCCCCAAGTCCCCTTCCCATCCTTTCAAAGAACCACTTCGTTGGCTCATTAATCCTTTATGTTGGTTTTTTAAATCTCAATTTCATTAATTTCCACTATGACCTTTATAATTTCTTTGTTTTTAGTTCAGATTGAGATTATTCTTATTTTTCTAGGACCTTGAGATGCATCATTAAGTTATTTATTCGGGATCACTCTGTTCTTTATATATATGCACTTACGGCTATAACTTTCCCACTTAGAACTGCTTTCACTGTGTCCCATGGGTTTGGGTATGTTGTGCTTCCACATTGTCATGTTAGTCTATAAACTTCTGTATTTCTTCTCTGATTTTTCTGTGATCCATTGATTGTTGAATAATATATTAATTAATCTCCAGGAAAGCATATTGATTTCTTTCAGTAGCAGTATTGTGTGTAATAACAGATGTCTGGAAACAACCCACATGTCCACTGAGAGGAGAGGAGAGGGCTCTCTGTACCATATCCCTACAGTGGAATATGACACAGCGGTTAGATAACCAAACTAACAGCTCATGCACTGAAACTGATAGACCCCAAAAGAAATGGGACTTGGGATTTTGATGCTGGTGGGACCCTTTGGAGATCACTTTTGCTTCAGGTCTACAGAGGGTAGAGAGGTGGGAGAGCTTGTGGGAGGAGCTCAGAGGAGCCCCGTGCACACCTGTCCTTGAGCAGGCTGGGGCCTGCTGGTGCTGTGAGTGCCTGAGCACTCCTGGGCGGGCTGTGTGGCCAGGAAGGAAGGGAGCAGCTGCTCTTCAAGAGCTGTCCTCCAGATCCCCGGGGCCCCACCCCTGCTGGCAATCCAGCTAATTTTGGTGATACCTCATCCCTGCTGGTAGGAAACTGTGGGGTTAGAAGCGTATAAAACCACTTATCCTAGCCCAACCCTGCTTCACAGACTCCATGGCTTCTGATCCCACAGCTGCTGCAAGGACACGGGGCCCAGCCCACTAGCTTCTTTCAACTTTAGCCTCTTACACTGAATAAACCAACACTTCTCTGTTCTGTCCTAAGGGAAGAAGCCTGGTGGCCTGTTGCCCCCTGGTAAGGAGGGAAAGCTGTCCCCAGTGGTCCACTCTGATTGCAAGATTAGTGTGCATCTGTGCATTTGATTGTTTCTTAGGAAGGAGGTGATAACAGAAGCCCTGGATAAGTGAAGTAGGGCCCCTGGTGCTGGATTCACTCTGCCACAAATGTGGTGGCAAGTTCTTTCTCATCAGGTATCAGCTTCCTCATATGAAAACCAGAGGCTTCTGCATTCCCCATGCAGTTTGCAGATGAGGAAACTAAGGCCCATGGAGGTGTATCGCCTCTTGTCTACCCTACGCCCACAGGGCACTTCTATCTGCCCTACTGAGCTGCGTGTCCTTCCAGGAGGACTTTGTCTTTGCCTCCTCCTCGGCCAGGGACCCTGGTATGCTCCTGAGCCCTCAGTTTCACCCCTGCACATCAGCAGTTCTGACTCTTGTTTCTGCTTGTTGTTCTGGGTTCCTCATCTGAAGACCTCCTTAACTCTCAAGCAGCAAAGTTGGCTTGGGTGTGGGGGCTTCAGAGCAGGGCTGGAGCCCTTAGATGGAGAACATCAGAGGCTGGTCAGTGGCTGCTGTCTATTATTTGGTCAGTAGGTATCTGGTTCTGGAATCTCCCAGTGTAGGGTTCTTTTTTCTTTCCCCTTTATCAACTTTTCTGCCTCTACCCTCTTACCCTCTGGACCTGTCACTTCTGACAAGGTCCCAGGGGTTGAGAACTCATCCTTCTCCCACCTGCAGCTTTGATCTATACCCTCCCTCTGAGCTGCCCTTGCTTGGCTTGTTCCAGTCACCTGGAGGAGGGAGGGTAGGAACCTGGACAGAGGCCTAGGCTAGTGGAGCAGGACTGGGGGCTTGTGGGATGATGCTCCCTTGTAGGGGTGTGTGCGGGCTCCCCCACCAAGCACCTGGCATTAGGTGCTGCTGACCCAATCCCATCTTTGGGAAGCAGGTGGGAAACTTAGGATGAGCAGGTTATGCAAAGTAAAATGTAACCACATGTAAAGATGAAATGTAAAGGACCTTTCTTGACAGGTGGAACTGAAATACTGAGGAGGAGAAGCCCTAGGCAAGAGGAAATGGGGGTCTCTGCATGTAAATGCACCTCCTTCCCTGATATTTCAGAGACCAGGGCTTCCTGGGAGGGGCCTATGACAGGTCATGGGACTACTGCTAAGCTGTGATTTAGGAAGGAGGTCATAATAGGAGCCCATCTGCTCATCTCAGAAGAAGAAAGCACAAGAGTAGCCAGGGCCCTGAAAGGACACTTACTGTGCAGCCACAGAGTCTGTGCCTTGTGGGTCTGAGGCATGGGGCCTGCTGGGCTTGGATCTGGAGTGTGGGAAAGGCCTGCAGAGGTCTGGTTTGCCTGAGCCTGGTGGGGCCACGCCCCTGTGCTGTGGAAAGCTACTTAGAGCCAACGACACCTTCAAAGGCCAGGGACTGCAGGTGTTTACAGGCAGGATTTCCTAGACAGTCACCAAGAGCAGTGCTGGCAGGGGCCTGGTGCTAAGCCCTGCGCAGGCCGGATGCCATGGCCTGCTTTAGCAGCCTCAGCCTTGGTGAGAAGGACAAGACCCAGGTGTAAAGGAATGCCCAGCTCAGGGCACTTGTCTACAGGAAACCAGAGATCAGAAATGGGGTGGGGGCTGTATGGCAAGGTGAATGGAGCCCCATTTCCTGATGGGAGGCTGAGGTGTGCACCTGGGCGCCGTGCCCCATCCTGCAGGGGAAGGCAGGAGTGACTGGAGGCCTGAATTTAATTTAAATGAGATCTCCTAAGTGCCTTGTTTCTGTGATGAAAACCCTGACATTTAGATATTGGAGGAGTGAGTCGGTTAGGTACAAATAGTAGGATCACAAGGACAAGATGGAAGTTTATTTATCACTTGCCACAACTCAGGTGAGCATTTAGGGCTGGCACCAAAGCCAGCGCTGTGAGACCAGGCTCCTTACTCCTTGTGCTTCTGCCCTCTCCAGGTCTACATCCGTGGCCCCTGGTGCCTCTGACCTCCCCTCATGAGGCACCATCTCCTGGTGCCCTCTGTGGAGGGATCAGAGCTGGTTAGCATCCTTCGTGTGACCGTGCTTCAGGAAAGCCCCAGGCAGCTGGTCTGTGGCATGTTTTTTATCTTGCTCCCACCTATCCTGCAGGGGCCTCTGATGGAAGGAGATCCATGGGTTGCTTGCCCAAGGGAGCATCTTCTGGGTGGGGCTCTGAGGAGATGTTTTAGTCCATCTGTCTTCCAAGGCCCCCTGCAACCTGATTCACCAGAGAGCAGAGCACATGACCAATTCTCAGGGACACCACTATCCCCCTGAGTACAGCCAGTTCCTCCTCACTGCACCCCCTCATAGGCAGACGCCCTCACAGTAACTCATGTTGTACTTACACAGTTCCATGTACATCAACCCTCAGCCACCTGGTCAACCCTAAGAAGCGAGCTGGGGCTGGTTGCACATCCCTAGTCCGCTCTGGTCTAGGGCCGTGCACATATTGGGCACTCAGTAAAGATGCCTGAGACCACAGTGAGCTGGCTCAGGCCAGGCTGTGCAGTCATTTCCTAGCATACCCTTTTCCTTTAGTGGTGCCAACTCTTTCTGAGGCCCTTAGGATGATGGGGTTGCTCTTCTCACCTTTATCCATGGGAGAGAATTAGGTTCAGGAGGAAACTGAGGCTAAGTCAAGATGAAGGGGTGGCTGGCTGCTGTGGTGGCCCCTGACTCCCCTTCCTTGGCTATAAATGTCCAGGCAAGTAGAGCTCAGCAGAATGGTGCTGGGGTCCTGCGCTCTGCCTAGGAAGCTCTGTGTCATGGGTCATGGGCCCTGTCCGGAGCCAGGGGCCCACGTGTAACACCACACAGGCATTACTCTGTACCTGGTCTGTTTATTCATCTGCTGCAGACTTCTTCAGTCCTCATTCCTTTATCATTCTGACTAATGTCAAGAAAATCTACTTACTTCTCCAAATCCTTTCAGAGGCACAAAGTGGGGCCAGCCTAGGTAGGGTAGGTTGAGTCCCATGAAGAAGGAGGAAGAAGATCCAGAGAGTACAGAACAACAACAAAAGCAGGCCATAGAGAGACCTGAACAGCTTCCAGAAATTGGGATTCACCCGCGGCTGGCATTGTTTGCCATCCTGCCGTCCTTTCCTAAGAGACCTGTCCTCCCCTCATCATTTGCTTAGGACATTGCAATAGTTTCCAGCCTTTTGTTGTAACAGGGGAAATGGGTGGGGAGGGTTGAAAAGAAAGCACCTGAAGTGAGAGACTACAAGAGTAGTGTGTTCCAAAACTTTGTCAAGGTCCTGGCAGGGGATTAAGAATTCAGGAATGAAATCTAAGGCATATGAAAGGTTGTACAGGGTCAGGAGCAAGCATCTCTTCATCTGCATAGAAGTTCCAAAGAAAGAAAATGCATGTACCCAGCAGCAACAGGGCCTTGGATTAGACCTTAAGAAGGACTTGTTGGCTTGCGGTGTTGGCTACTGAACAAGTTGATGAAATCTTTGCTGGGAACCTGGTGGGCATACCTGCTTATCAGACAGTTGCACAAATCCCTGGGAAAGATGGGGGAGTATGAAAAATGATGTCTTTGAGTCTTGACTGATGACCTGTGATCCTACCTCCCCTGAGATGCTAAGTGCTAG